TCTCTTCCTCATCTTCTTTTCCTCCCCTCTATTCCTCCTCTTCTTTCTTCCGCTTCCTCCTCTTTCCCCTCCACATCCTCCTCCTCCTTTTCTTTTTCCTCCTCTTCCTTTTCCTTTTCCTCCTCCTACTCCTCCTTTTCCTTTTCCTCCTCTTCCTTTTCCTTTTCCTCCTCCTTCTTCTCCTCCTCCTCCTATTCCCCCTATTCTTTTTTCCCTGTTCTCCCCAACCCTTCCTCTTCAGGAAACCTACATCCGTCAAACAGACCAACCCGCAAACTTGAAGAACATCCTTCAATTATTCTTTTCCACCAACCTCTAAAACAAAAGCAAAAAACAAAAAAAACAAAAAACAAAAAACAAAAAACAAATATAAACATACAAATAAACAAAATCATAACTTTCATCGAGGTTACAATTTCACCAAAAGTTTGCACATCTTGTACGATCTCACGCTCTTACGCTGCCAAGAACCCTATCGTTATTATCATCATTTTTTTTTCGACTTCTTTGGATATCAACGCCCAAAAAAAACTCAAAGGAAATGGTCAGAATATGGTACTTTCGTGGTCATCTAACGACCACTCACCGACCACTAACAATCTGTCACGCGCTTCTTTGCCTTTGAAGGAATGACAGAGAATTATGTGGTCGGTCTGTATGCTCGTTAGGTATGTACTGTCTAGTTTTAAATTGATATAAAACGGATTGTTTTCTGATAAAAAGAAAACGATTTGAGAGTTTGTTTTCTGTTTTGTTTGTTGATGTTTAATTGATATTATCGTTATTATCATTTTCACGTCCGTTTTAGTATTAGATTATTATGTTACTACTACTACTACTATTACTATTATCATTATGATTAGTAGTACTACTATTATTATTGTTATTATTATTATTATCATCATCATCATTATTATTATTATTATTGTTATTATTATTATTATCATTATTATTATCATAATAGTAATTATTATCATCACAATCACCGCCATCATATCCTTACAGTTATCTTTATTATCATTGTCAGTGATATCAAAATTGCTCTCACTATTGATGTTAAATCATCATTGCTATTAACTTTATCATTATTTCTTCATTTTCTTTCTTCATGTTAATCAATAATAGATATTACAGTTATTATCATTAACGTTAACATGATCATTGGTAATATTATCTTTATTGTAATTATCATCATCTTTACCACTAACATTATTACAAATACACATTATTATATTACGTTTCACAAACAACATAACAAGAAAGGAGACCCAAAACAACAAAACAAACAAACATAACATGTGGTAAAGATATGCACACATTTTTCAATGAAATGTAATAAAAAGAGAAAGAAAGAATGAAAGAGAGAGTGAGAAAAAACAAAACAAAACAAAGAACATTTCCTTGTTGTCTTTGTTCCGGTACAGTGTGAGAGGAAAGGGGGGGGGGGTAGGGGATGGGCTGGAATGGCTGCACTGTGATAAACACTTTTGCTTTTGTTTGTTGTTCTTTGAAAGACAGAGCTGATCTTCACAAGCGATCGTTTTTTTTCATTGTGTTTGTAGTTTACACACACACACACACACACGCACACACACACACACACGCACACACACACACACACACACACACACACACACACACACACACACACACACACACACACACACACACACACACACATACATACACACACACAGATACAACCAAACAACAACGCCTAAGAAACAAATTCACACACACAGACACACAAACATACAAACCCACCTTAAAAAACCTCTTGAGTCACTCCGACCAAAAAAAAAGAGGAAGCTACTACCAAATAGGGCATTTCCCCAGACCGGCCGAGTGTCCCCCGGTCCAACAGCGCGCCATAAACCCCAAGAGCCCTCAGCCTGAAACACCTCGCGCTTGAGTTGCTTTCCTTGAATGGGAGGTTCCCGCTCAAGCGCCGCTCCTCCAATATGGCGTGGCTGAGGCGGCGGGAAGTCAGGGAGCGATGCGCGTGCTAGATAGCGCCTTAAATTCGCGGTCATTTCTTGAGAGCTTCTTATCTCCAATGGGAATTTGATTGAGTTCTTGCTTTTTTTCATGATATTGTCTTTACTCTTTATGGTTAATAGCTTATGGGAGGATTTAGGTTAAGAGTATTTGGCTTAAGTGATGTTGATGTGAGCTGCATTGTATTACTATGTATTGCAGTGAAAACACACACACACACACACACACACATATAAGTGTGTGTGTTTGTGTGTGTGCGCATGCATACATACGTATATATACACACACACATCAACCTGACTACCTATCTGTGTGTTTATGTGTGTGTCTGTATGTATGTATGTATGTATGTATGTATGTATGTATGTATGTATGTATGTATGTATATATGTATATACACACACACAATGAATGTCCATAACGCCACTTCCTTAAAACAATTTTGCAACACACGTTCATCAACCTTCGTGGCATAACCTGTCTCCGTTTCCCTCCGCAGACCATGGCTCTTCGTCTCACAGCTGTCGCCCTCGGTAAGTAGGCTCCGGATGACCACGAAGAAGAAGAAGAAGAAGAAGAAGAAGAAGAAGGAGAAGAAGAAGAAGAAGAAGGAGAAGAAGAAGAAGAAGAAGAAGAAGAAGGAGAAGGAGAAGGAGAAGGAGAAGGAGAAGAAGAAGAAGAAGAAGAAGAAGAAGAAGAAGAAGAAGAAGAAGAAGAAGAAGAAGAAGGAGAAGAAGAAGAAGAAGAAGAAGAATGTTCATGACGTAACGAGAGTATACAAGGCGTGACCTCCGTTCTTAGCGAGCACCTTGTTCTATCTCTTTGTTTGTTCTTCCCCTTTCGTTTGCTCTGCGTTCTTCTTGTTCTTCGGAGTGGCCTTGTTGTTCTTGTTTCTATATGCGCGGATTTTTGGAAATCATTTTGGGGATATTGCGATTTTTGTTCCCGATATGTTTTTTTTCTTCTAATTTCTAGTAATGCTAGCCGTATTTTTATAATGCTTCGTATTTTTTATTGTCTTTTTTCTCTTATATGCTGTTATGTTTTATTAGGCTTTATCAAGTTATGTCATTTGTTCTGTAAATAGAAATGAATTCGTCTCAATCTACTCCCTCTCTCTTTCTCTCTCTTTTCGTATCTCCTCCATTTCGCCCCCATAGGCTTGCACACACATTCACATGCACACGTACACGCACACGTACATGTACACGTACACGTACACGTATACGTACACGTACACACACACACACACACACACACAGATACACGCTAGCGTATAATTTTTCTCTCTCCTCTTTCTCTCTACCTCTATCACTCTCTATCTCTCTCTTTATCTATTTCCTTCTCTTTTCTCTCTCTATCTTGGGTTAATAAATACATCCTATCTCACGCACATACACCCTTACACACATGCAGACACACATTACACCTTCCTCACAGACATACTTTCAAAATCATGAACAGCATAAACAGTTCCTTCTCTTTTCTTTTCTCTCTCTATCTATCTTTCTCTTTCTCTCCTTCTCTCTATCTCTTTCTTTCCCTCTCTCTCTCTCTCTCTATCTGTCTATCTCTCTTTCTCTTTCTCTTTCTCTCTCTCTCCCTCTCCCTCCACCTCCCCCCCCCCTCTCTCTCTCTCTCTCTCTCTCTCTCTCTCTCTCTCTCTCTCTCTCTCTCTCTCTCTCTCTCTCCCTCTCCCTCTCCCTCCCTCTCTCTCTCAGTGGAGGTTGAGAACGGTGAGGGAGGGGTGGGGTGGGGTAGGTGCTAATAGGCTGGGGAGGGGGGGTGAGGGAGGTTCTTCATAATCATCTACTTTCCCTCTCAATTAACTACGCTGTCTGCCTGTTCTACCATCTACTTGTGCGGTCTCGTGTATATATATTTTTATTTTACTTTTATTTTTATTTTTGTCTTCCTAAATAACACGGACGGGTTGGTTCTCAAAAGGACTGGGTGGTTATTTCTTTGCCTGTTTTGAGCTGTGATTGATGGTAATTTTTTGTTCTCTGAATGTCATTGATGTACCGTGTGTTCTTTATTTCTTATTAATTCATTACACTTTTCATCCTTTTTTATTTTTTGTCTGTCTATTCGCTTATATGTTTACATATCTGTCCGCCTGTTGCTATTTTCTTCTTCGTCCCTTTCTCTCTCCCTCACTCACTCCCTTTCTCTCTTCTTTTCCTCTCCTCTTGGACCCTCTCCTCTCCACCCGATAACCTTCAAACCGCCCGCTTCCCACTTCCACCCGCAGCCCTGTTCGCGATAGGCGTGGGTGCCCAGAATGGCCTTCCCGGCTACAGCTACGGCGCCCCCAAAGACCCCTTGGCCCCGACCGGCCCCGGCGTAGAAACGGAGACGGCGGATCCCATATCGGTGAGCGGGAACACGCGCTGCCTTGTGCGGTCACGTCTTCTGTGTGTGTTTGGAAGGGGGTAGTGTCGTCGAGTCTGTTTAGGGGCAGATGGTTTTACGGAATGCCTTGCTTAGGAGATTTTTACAGATTTGAAATGCTTGTCCTCTTATTCCTCTTGTCAGTTAAATAACCTTTACCCGACAGTCGCTCGCCGCCAACATCCCCGGCGGAGGCGTCCCTGGCGAGGACTACCCCATCCTGGCCTCCGTTCCCGACACCGGCTTCTCGTGCGAGGAACAGCAGTTCCCAGGCTACTATGCTGACACCGCCCAGGAAGCCGGCTGCCAAGTGTTCCACATTTGCCAGTTCGATGGCCGCCAGGACGCCTTCCTGTGCCCCAACGGCACCATCTTCAACCAGCAGTACTTCGTGTGCGACTGGTGGTTCAGCGTAGACTGCGCCGCGTCCGAACAGTTCTTTGGCCTCAACGCCGATATCGGGAAGGTCCCCGAAGACAGCACGACCGAACCTTCAGACAGCTACGGCGTGCCCCAGGCCGATCAGCAGTACCAGCAGCCGCAGAACCAATACCAGCAGCCACAGAACCAGTACCAGCAGCCACAGAGTCAGAATCAGCCACCAGCAC